TGTTATTTCACTAGTTTCTCAATAGTGATAGGATGTAAAATAAAATAGATATACTGAGTACGTAGCTCAGTTTGTAGATTAAATACTGAAGCTAATTCTGTGTTAAAGTCATTGAAAATGAAACGATAGATTATAAGGGAGTTTAGTTAAAGCCAAAGCAAACATGGATGCAAAATAATATGGATTCATTATATTTCGTGGTTTCTCATCAGCTGCTTACAATCATATATATACTAAAAGTTTACATTGATGTAAGATTTAATGAGAAACAGTTGACGTAAGTGAATAAAAAGAATTGAAATGACAAGCCTTATCAACAATAACTATATATGTGCAAGAACAGGTCGGAGGTCATTCGATGTTAGAATCAAGAAACATGAGGTGTGAGTGATGCAACAATTGGCTTTATTTAAATTCGTAAACGGAACTAATTATAAGGGAGTTGATTGTTTGCTCAAATATGATGTCCCATAAAGTACAATAAGAGATACTCAGTTGTAGCCCTTTTACACTGAATTTTTCTCCGATGAATTTCTTAAAATTCCCATTGTTCGAAAGCTTATCATTTCAGTTGAGCTTTTCATTAGTTTAAGGGAATTGTTATTGCTTGTGAATTGACATTCAACCTTTCTCTTCACAATATAATCATATTTGCCTATGATCTTCTTCGTCCACAACCCGACACATTCCCTACATTCAATTTTGTCCATAATGGAAGAAGTGACTATGAAGGAAGCTAAGTGATGTATCAACTATGAAATAAATTGCACCAATTTTTTTGATGGAGTTTTGTCCTCTGAGCTGGAAGGTTTGGTCGTGAAGCTTTCATCGTTCTTATGAACGACATTATCAGCACAAACTTCAGGTAGAAGTCCACCTGAAATTGCACCAATTTCGAGTAACTCAACATCAACCAAATCAGAAGCCTCATTCAACTAGACTTACACAAAATAACAGTGAAACAATATAGTATGTTGTAGATTTATGTGAATCGATTTTGTACACACGAATTCGACTGAGTAAATGTTGACACTATGCATTGCCAATGGTCTGAGAATCTATAGAGATGCAATACTAAATACAATATACAAATGCAGCGTGAATTCTCATGAAGTGAACGCAGCCAAAACAATCACTCATTAATATATCTCTGTTCTCATTAAATCCAATCCTCATAAAATAATTTAGGAGACTCATTTCTACCTAAAGTAAATGATGATGCTACAATTCAGAACAAAAACAACAACAGTTTCAGTGTTGAGACAATAAAGTTCATTGAAAGCATACAACTACTGCCTTCGAATACATTAATTATTAGATCTTCATGTCTTATAGATTATATCAGTACGTTTCATATAGAACATTCTAACAAACAAATCACTGGAACCCTGTTCTTTACGATTAATTCAATTCCATTATATTTCTTATTACATGTGTTGGCATTTCTTTACAACTTCATCAATAAAACAGATTAAGTGGTGATTATATTAGATTATAAGATTATTCAGGCATTATGAAAGAATCCATTATTTCTTGATAGTCATAGATTGAGAAATGATTCAGTTGTGAAATAGGAAGTCTATATGATCATTGGTCATTCGTAGGTAGGTAAAATGACTCTTTATTTGTAAACTTAACACATAGAATAAGTATGGTGTGTGCCACTTATATCGACATGAGTAGTATATAACAATAGTCAGGATTAGAATGTCTGGCAGCAGAAAGTCGAGAAGGAAAGAACGGAAACAGAAAGTAATTGGTATGAAAATTCAGGAACGATGAAGTCTGAGACGATGGATTGGTATTTTGCAAATGAAGTATTTACTGTATTGCTCTCAGATTTTAATAAGGTGCTCTGTAATTTTGTATTCAAATACATTCGATTGTCTCCACTTATGTTCTCGTCCACTACATAAGATGGTACTTACTATTAGCTTGGTTAGTATTTGATCATTCTTATATAGATCATTTACAGAAAATTAATTTGCAGGTTTCCACATGTTACAATATACTTTCAATACATTAGAACCATAGGTCGTAACTTCCGTTTTTAATAGTTGAAATCATGAGTCAACTAAAGCTAGACCATCATGGAAAATCTGGAATCGCTCAAGGGCAGTTTTATCATATTGTGAGACTCCTCAGCAGTGCGCATCCACGATCCCGCTCCCCGCGAGCGCCTAACCATTAGACCACTGAGCTGGCCGGCATCCAACGGTGTTAGTGTCTAACTTCAACCAATCCACGAAGTTACGCCACCGTACACTATTGTCTCACAACAGACCTGGTTGGACTCCACTGGTAAAGGCTTCTCATTAGAACTCTAGGAAATGCCTCTTGAAATCAGTCACTAGTGAGCAGATGATTATTATTATCAGAAGGTTCTAATGGTTATGCACTCGCGCGCGGGACTGATAGGTCCTGGGTTCGAAGTTTGTGGGGGGTCGGATCGTGGATGCGCACTGCTGAGGTGTCCCATTCTAGGACGAGACGGCCGTCGAGTGCTTCCAGGTTTTCCATGGTGATCTAGCTTCAATTGACTCATGATTTCAACTATTGAAACTTCCGCTTTATCAAGTATAGCGATGAGTCAAAACTAACTTAATGTGCTTTATCGAACAAAGTAACAGTTTATTTGTAGTGAAAGTGATTGAAAATACCACAAAATAACATAATGAGTACTTGGCAACTGATTGAAACACAGACGCATTCTAGATGAAAATTAATCTGCAATTAGATGCAATGAACATATAATGATATACGTTACCATGATATATCCCAAAAGTATTTTCATTACTCATTAGGCTACTTAGTACTTTAAAAACTCTGTTAACAACTGTTAACCGAGTTTTGATTAGTTTTGGTTGGTATACGTGCATCTTGTGTGGAATGCATTAATATGACCGTTTCCTACAAGATTTTACATATGATATTCATTGTTGTTATAAAAACTTGTGAAAATGGCTATATCGATATAGTCCGCACATGAGCCAACCAAAATCAATTACAGAAGTCTGAACAACAGGGCTAATCCAAACTTATCCTAATAATGATATAAATATCATACCCGTTGGACAAGTCAGTGGCTATTTGGACTCAGTAGATGGACGAATTATGTACCAGCGTATGGCATGAAAGATACTGTGTCCGAGTGTCAGAGTGAACATAAACACTGGAATACTGGTGCATTCATTTGACGAATCCTAGACAGGAAAACATTCGCGTCCTGGATAACACTACTACTATTTACAGCCATTCTCTTTCATAAAAATTCAATCACTACAATTTAGCCACTCATTAAACACTTAACAGACAATCAGTCACAGCATAACAAAATGTTAACAGCACTTCGGTGTCATATTTTAAAATAAAAAAGTCGATAAATTCACTAGGTATTGTTTACTTGAACCTTTCCATTGATGTTTAGGGCTGCAACTGATCAGTCTCTTATTAGCATATGTGCATATTTCCTTAATTTGCAAGCACTCTAAGTACTCAGTAGCTACATGGACAATGTGGTGTCGTTTGAAGCAAACGGTACTGGGTCCATGTACTAGAGTGAATATCAACTCTGAGATGCAGGTACATCCAGTTGACGAATCTCAAATAGAACGAAACACGCGTCAAATTGGATTCCACTGCTAGTTACTATCCATCTTTGCTTAAAAAGTCGATAATTACAAAACTAATAACTTCACTTTTGATGTTCAATAAATGAAACTTTGTATATAGTTTCCAAGTGTACATGACTTAATGATCAATGAAGATTATCTTTGAAAAAAAAGAGATACAATTAATTGTTAAAAAAATGTAGACCGCTGGATCCATAATTCATATGGATAGAACGATCTTTGTTATACCCGCTGAATTGTTTTAATTTTCAGCTTATTTTCTCAATGACTTGTCTGGCCTGTATATTGCATCTTTATTCATAAATGGTTTTTATAGAGATTTACCTAATTTTTCATAGCTTTAATCCTTCTTGGAAACTGATATACCCACCTTACAATACTCAAACCGAAAAAAAACTAAACCGATATTGGTAATAAAACCACTATAGTAAAGAACATCCGTGATTGAAGAATGAAACGGTTACCTAAAAACAAACCACTTCACTGCAAATTATCCCGCCTACAGGCATTTAGATTAATTAAAGCGTATATAATGTATTGCAAAACTCTGAACAAGATTCTTAATTTACTTGCTTTTTATCTGAGAAAGTGTTCAGTCATAAATTTTCATCAGTTATCATATAGTAGCTTCATTACGCATGTTGAGACTATTATTTATTACCAATTAGTATGTTTATGTCATGTACGACTGATTGTTAGTCATTTCACTGGTTGAAATCATGAGTCAATTGAAGCTAGACCAACATAGAAAACCTGGAAGCACTGGACGGCCGTTTCGTCCTGGCATGCGACTCCTCAGCAGTGCGCATCCACGATCCCGCCTCCTGCAAGACTCGAACCCAGGACCTATCAGTCTCGCGCCAAGCGCTTAACCAACTAGACCACTGAGACGGTCGGCATCTAACGGTGTTAATGTCTTACTTCAACCAATCCACGAAGTTGTGCCACCGTACACCATTGTCTTCAGTGAGTTCCTATCTCACAATAGACCTGGTTAGACTCCACTGGTAACGACTTCTCACTAGAACTTCAGGAGTGTCTCCTGAAGTCAGTCACTAGTGAGCAGATGATTATCATTATCAGAATGGGTTTTGTGGAGATTTTTTTTAGAAATTTCACTGGTTGAAATCATGAGTCAGTTTTTAACTGTAATATCTAAAAAGAGATTAGTCAAAATAATTTCTGGATCAAATGGTTATCTATTAAGTTTTCATTGTTTAGCATATAATATTAGCTAATTCCTAAAATAAAAGAATTTAAACCCTAATTACTAAAGAAGCTTTGTAACAATGAGGTCATTCTATGTTCTCAAATAACTTTCGCTTAAAACTGAAGTAAACTGTATGTACTGAAAGTTAACATAATGAGAATTTTTAAAAGTACGAAAATAGTATATATTTATTCTAATTGTAATCTATTTAGATCTGTTATATGGTACATATAACGCTCAGATATTGGTATATTGTTAAGAATATTCATATACAGATTGCATTTTCCTAAATATCCATTATGTTTAATTTTCTTTAATTGATCAATATATGATTGAGGAAGTTGAGATTGAATAGCTCCACGAATTATTATATCTAAATAATATGGAGATGGATCGCCGGATTCAGATGAATTCAATATATAACTTCTACAATTAATAATTGAAGATTTTTCAGAGAAAAGATTAATTGGTATTTCAATTGGACGATACATTATTGGAGCAGATTCTTGTAAATCTAATGTTTTCATATCATTCATACACATTTTCCATACAGTACCCATAACATATTCAGAAGGTGATGGTTTAATTGTTGCAGTAGCTCCAAACCAATTATTACTTAATCCGCCAAAGGATAAAGCATAATCTTCTAATACTCCAATACCAACATATTGAGCAGATTTATTTGATAATTGTATACGTTCTTTTAATAAATTACTTCCAAATGCAAAATAATAAAACATGAGATAAATAATGAAGTATTTACAAATGATTACTTGTTGAGATAGTTGCGTAATACTGATCTACAGGAATATAAATCAGTGCTTTATTTCTTAGATATTAAGTAGTATAATCTATAAAAGTGAAGAAAAGAAATTATGTAAAGTATAACAACGAATATAAGGCTAGTTAAACTATTGATTGTTTAAATTTTTTTCTCCTTCATGATATGGACTACAATTAATCAATCGAATGCTGATTACCCCGATATTGATATTGAGTGCAGATGCACTTGGTTGATGATTTTTTTTAAACAGAATGAAACACTGGTAATAAATCGTGCTGATAGCTAATATCTAACTCTTCTTAAAATAATCAAACTATTGCCAGTTGTATTTTATTTTATTTGAACATATAGATATTGGTACAAGAGGGCACCAGATACATATGCGACACACAAATCTCAGAATTGTGTGAGGGCTGTGATACTGCCAGGGTTCCCATGCCGAATCAGGTGGTTTTCTTAGGAGGCCACACCTATGGCCTTTGACATAAACGTTTATTCCACAAGGCAGTGGAGTATCGTAAGGAGATGCAGTCCCATGGTAGATGGTGGCCAACGATTGTTTCATGCGCCATTTGTTTTCTCAGGATCCTGGAGCCCATATGCACCAGTGATTTGAAATCAGGGTTTTCCAACTCTCTTGGGTTGACTCTCCATGTCCACCAACCCGGTTCAAGCGCCGGACATTCACTTTTCGTCCTGTCAATTGCGCGAACATCATCCCCGCCACGAGAATGCAGTGAGTAGGACTTCCCTGGCAGAGGCTATATACGTGTGTCCATGTGAGAGCATTTGGAGAGGAAGAGCGGACTCTCTCTACTCTCAGCCGTATCAGGTAATCGGGGGGCACTATTGCCAGAAAATTGGCATATTTTTAAAATCAAGCTGTGTAAACCGTGAATAATTTTACTGGTTAATACTGAACAAAAGTTAAAACCTAATTCTTTTGAAGCAATAGTTAAACTGTCCTAAATTATATGTCAATCACTTCTAGGGTTTCAAGGATTTGAATCCTGACTGCTTTTCGCAAACTTAATGTTATATATTATTGGTCAAGTCAGAGTTATAGTTAGTTTGAACAACACTTGTTAACATTAACATAACTGGATATAATGATTGGATACACCTACTAGATATAAGTAAGGGGATTCGCAAAGTTTACAATATAATTAACAGTTAGATTCATCAGCCAATCCAATCTAGACCACCATTTAAAAGCTGGAAGCATTAGAAGCTCATTTTTTTCTAATATGAAACTCCTGAACAATACTCATCCACGATCCCACACGCGACACTCGAATCCAGAATCTTCAGTCTCGTGTGCGAACACTTAAGCTCTACAACAGTGAGCCGACATCCAACAGTATTAATGTCTAACTTCAATCAACTCATGATCGTACCCAACCATTCATCCATTATCTGAGGTAGATATCAATCTCTACCTGACGCGGACTTGACTCTACTGGTCAGAGCTTCTCACTACACCTCCAAGAAATCAATCTTGATGATATTCACTAATGAGCATATGGTTGTTATCAAAATGTGGAATAGTGGAGATTGTAGTAATTTTAATTGTTGGATTAATGAGACAATCTAAGCTAGGCTACCGTTCAAAAACTGGAAGCATTAGACTATCGTTTCGTTCTGAACAGTTCACATCCACGATCCCACGTGCAGGATTAGGACTAGGACCTTCTGTCTTAGGCAATGGATCAAGGGTTTCTGAAGATTATGAATCGATTGAGGTTAGGACACTAACGCTGTTGTATGCCGGCCCTGTGGTCAAGATTTTAAACATCCGTGCACGAAATTAAAGGCGCCTGATTCGAGTGTCACGTGTGAGGTCGTAGATGTACACTGTTGAGGAGTTCCATACTAAAACGAAACGGCCGTTCAATGCTTTCAGCTTTTGAATGGTGATCTGGTTCATATGGATCCGTGGATTCAACTTACTAGTTAAATTTAAAAAATAAATGAACAGGAGCACTTTTGTACAAAATAAATAAAGAATAAATAAAATTTCGCAAGTTGAAATGAGTCAACTGAAGCTAGACCATCATGGAAAACCTGGAAGCACTTGACTGTCGTTTTGTCTTGATATGGAACCCCTCAGCAGTGCGCATCCACGACCTCGCACCTCGCGGGACTCGAACCCAGGACCCACTGGTTTCGCGCGCGGGCACTTAACCATTAGACCACTGAGCCGGCATCCAACGGTCTAATGCCGTTACCAGTGGAGTTCAACCAGGTCTGTTGTGAGATAGGAACTCACTGAAGACAATGGTGTACGGTGGCACAACTTCGTGGATTGGTTGAAGTTAGACATTAACACCGTTAGATGCCGACCGTCTCAGTGGTCTAGTTGGTTAAGCGCCTGGCGCGAGACTGATAGGTCCTGCGTTCTAATCTCGCGGGGTGCGGGATCGTGGATGCGCACTGCTGAGGAGTCCCATACCATGATGAAAAGACCGTTCAGTGCTTCCAGGTTTTCCATGATGGTCTAGCTTCAATTGACTCATGATTTCAACTTGTGAAATTACTAATAATCTCCACAAAACCCATTCTGATAATAAATAAAATACTGAAACTCACTACTTACATGGAATAAGCAAGACGATATATCTGTCAATGAAATTATGAAGCTTAGATTCATTATCTTATCCATAAGCAATTTGTCATTAGCATGGTTACACTGCTAATGCATACATCTATAATATGATTCGTTAATTTAATGACCTTGTGTTTGGTTAAAAATTTTATCATTGGCTAATAAACTGGTCTAAATCAATATATGTTTATTGTTTACTGCGTGACCTGAAAATTGACCTAGTTACAAAGAATTCAAAATGACAGTTATAAAAGTTGATTCCAATACAATATACTCGGTTAGCGTTTTTGGAGATTTGTCATTAATCATTAATTTGATGTGATAGATCGAAATTGGTAATATTTAACACAATAGAACATGAGTAATAGTAGTGGAGTTAGAGAGTTGTCAATGTCACCATGGAAACATATTTTTCTAAGTAATGGAAGTGGATAGAATAAGCTCTTATTTGCTTGTAAATGGATTCTGATATTTCATTTCATTAGTTTGATGCTATTCATAATGAATAGAAGTTAATGAAGGCCACACGATTACACTAAGCAGGTTAGAACACATACTTCACTTTACTTACTTACGCCTGTTAGTCCTCTTGGAGGAGCATAGGCCGCCCATCAGTACTCTCCATCCAGAGCATATAACCTAGAGAAAATTAAAAAAATTATGTTACTCAGAATTTAGAGAATGAAAACCTTCTATCGATAACACAACAACTACTCTTGCATACTGTTACGCCTAAATGAATGTTTATGAAAATACGCATATCACTACGTTTGTCAATAAAATTTAGTCAATCATTGAAATAAGCGAAACAATAGCTAGTGACTGAAGAAAACAATGAGGTCTTCGTTATTACTGATTATAGATAGATCAAGTTAGAGCGTAATAAAAATGCGACAACAAGAGACAACCACTCAATTTCTATTCGAAGAGGTTTAATCTTGCTCAGTCTTTGTATATTACACTTAGTATTCAGAATCTATGTATTGTTCACTGACTTAAAATCTTCTGAGAACTCCTTGATCACAAAGCTGGACAATTATTACAACAGTAAAATTCTAACTTATATCCAACACAACAAGGGAATTATCAGCCAAATTTCCACCGTATTGTCTAAGACACCTGATAACAGATTTATTCACCTTAATTGGACCAAGTTTAGCAAACGAAACTATCCCTGCTCCTCAACAATGACACAAATCATCCAAAATACATGAAGCTTGAAAGTCGAAGTTTACTAGAACTCCTCGACTTATGATTAACAACATACTTTCAATTCAACCATAAAATCTACAAACAAACGATAGGAACACCGATGGGATCACTAATATTAGGACTTATTGCAGAAGCAGTGATTCAGAGACTGAAAGCCTCGGCCTTACTAGTAATCAAACCAACAATTCGGATTCATTATGTAAACAACACATTCGTCATCGTCAAAAAAGACGATCTGGAGAACACCTACAATGTAATCGGCAACGTCTTCGATGACATAAAATTCACAATGGAAAAGGATTCAAACAAAAACTATCATTTTTGGATGTACTAATCGCCAGAACCGACATAGGAAGACGGGAAAGTCAAGTATCTCGGACGCTAACCTTCACAGATCAAATTCTCAATGACAGTAAAGACAACCCAAGAACTCATAAAAACAACTACGTACAAACGTTATTCAAGAGAACGAGAACACACTGAAACACACTTGCAGCTCGGAAAAAATATCTAGTGACTATCTTTCAAAAGAACGGCTACTCAACCAACTTAATCAAAAAGAATCAAACTAATACATTAGCGGAAACAAAATCAAGTACAGAAACCAACAAATGGATCAACCCACCATATATAAAAGACATCAGGAATTACAAAGATTATTGAAGCTGTTTGGAATAGGTATAGCACAAAATCACTTTAATCAATCCCATGCAAACCAAATGATGATATAAAAAAATAAGGAAAACCGAATGTCATCAGCAAAATAAATTGTTCCAACTGCGAAAAACACTACATCGAACAAAGTGGGTTCCCCCTTCATCTTCCCCAATATGAACATCAATTAACAGTCAAAATCCATGACATATCCTCTCTTATATCGATGCATGTGGAGAACTGTGAATACACATTCGACTGGTCAAATGTTAAAATCTTAGAGGGAATACTAAAAGCACAAGGGGATTTTTAGAAGTCTGGCACTCAAGTCAATCGGCAATCAATAGACACATTGAAATCGATCCAATCTATCAATCCGTCAGAAAACTCATGGATGAATATAGGACTAAGAATCAAATCACTGGGAGAAACAATCAAAATAAGGAAGTAGAGAATGACGGGTTAAAATTCAACAACCAATCAAGATCGAGGTCATCAGGACAAGCTGCCAGCCATATGTCAAGAAATTCGAACATTTCACTGCTACCTGCAAGTTTGTGCCGATGATATCGTTCAGAAGAACAGTGAAAGCTGCATAGTTAAACCACCTAGCTCAGAAAACAAAACTCCACCTAAAAACCTATTAACAACCTTATCTGCACTGATTTGTTCCATAACCACTTATCCCGGCTGAAGAAGATTGGCAGTGATTGAGAAAATTCAGAGTATTCTGCAGTATCATACAATTACTTCACCAACATACAATTTGACAATCTTATAGCTATCAACCATATTTCTATGTGTCGATATACCAGGTAACGTAGTGAAGTTTTCTTGTCACCGATTTACTTGTGAGAATATCACCATGTAAACAAACGATTATGATGTCAATT